GAGAGAGAGAGAGAGAAGAGAGAGAGAGAGAAAAGAAACAGAGGAGACAAGCTGAGAAGACTCGCGGGAGGGTGCGGACGAACAGGATGACGAGCGGGAACATCCCGACGCAATACTGCGGAGGAGAAACGAAGCCGCGAAGGGGAAATGACTGGCAACGACGTACGGTGGTGTTGCGGTATATCGGATAGTAAAAGTCCCGGAGAACAATGGATAAACGGAATGGTACAGCCGAGACCTTTCGAGGCGATCGGATAACCGGCAAAAATGCGCGCAACACAATGGATAGGAGCACGCCCTCCGACAAGAGCCCTCTTTTTCTTTCTCTTTCTAACCGCGACTAGTTCTCCACGAACGTTCGTTTTCCACGGAGTGTAAACCGAAGTCCACTCATCCACCCCCTAGGTACACCCGACCATTCGACCGTGAAAGAGAAAGAGAGTATTCCGCTCGTTAATCCGGCGATAATTAGATTTTCTCTTGAAAAAAGTCGACTTAATTCCGAAAAAAATGTTTATGAAGTTCAGAAGCTCGAAAGAGCGCTTGCCAATAAAATTTACAAAAAATATTATCGACTTTTCCGAATTATTTTCTCGAAAAAGTTAATCCTACGGACATCAATATTTTATTTTAAAAAAATTATAAATATAAACACTTTATAATTAATTAAATTAATTTTAAGTTCTAATAAAGACACTTAGAAATATTATTTTATATATTTTTTTAATATTGTATTAAAGCTTGTAATTTTTGTAAAACAAAATTTTTTCATTGAATTTTTTCATTTTTTTCTGAATTTTAATGTAATGTTTTAGTTATAATTATATTTTAATACAAGAGCGATTAATATGCGAATGCAAAATTATATATGTGAAACATGTAAATTACATGAGAGAGTCAGAAGCTCTAGCATTAATATTTTTTTAACTTCTTAGGTGGTCAAATGGAACACGTTGCGCCATCTGTCACAAACGACATCAAATTGTGACAGAACATATTCAATGTGACATAGATAAAACAGTCGCTTTTTATATCAACGATTATACAAGTTAGAGCAAATAAAACAAAAATATAAACAGAAAACATCATTCGGTATTGATTTCTCGGACGTTATATAATTATACACCAATTCATACCGATCTATTTAAAAAATTAGTTTAGTCATCTCATTCAAACTTGTGAACAATGAACAAAATATGTTTGATTTTTTGTGAAGTTTTATTTTCAAATTCTTAATTTTTAATTATTTAAATAATAGTTTTCTCTAAACATTTATAATCATTACTGTGAAACAGATACATACATCATATATCTATCCAAATCTTAGCAAATTGCCAGAGAATATGCGTATAAATTTTGAAAAAGGTTTAAGGTTTTTAAAGGTATTCCAATATAATCCAATAATTCCTACAAATAAAATCTCTCCACTTACCTTGTAAGTTGTCCAACATGTACGTCAGCAGCTTGTTTGTCCCCGCAGGCTCTCCATTTCCATACAACGCCATCACCTCCTTGCTGAGCGGATTTCCTTGAAGTCCAAGCACTTGTAATTGGAATAACTTCCCTAGTTCGTATGGTAACACGCGAAGGAAGTTTTGGTTCAATAACAACTCCCTGTAACAATACGATACAATTTCCCATGAAAAGGAAGATCTATCTAGGAAAACATTTCTTACACGAATAATTTCTTTCCATCTATTTTAATTTGTTCTATTATACCTGAGATAGATAAGGTCCCCCAGTTCAGCAGGCAGACTGCGCAGCTTGTTGCTACTGAGATCTAGAATGCGCAAGGTAGCAAGACGGCCGATTTCAGGCGGCACCCTTTGCAGACTATTGTCGTTCAAATACAAAGCTGTCAAATGGGTCATTTGCCACAAATTGGGACTTAAATTCCTTATACTGCCTGTTATCTCCAACTCCGACCAATGAGATTTCTTCCCCGATTGATAATCTTCAGAGCACATGAGTGTATACATACGACGTGGGTTGGAGTTTTCATACTTGTCCTTATGATTGCGGGACATGTTATATTCTAGAAAAAAAAACAAAAACAAGATATTAAAATAAGAATACATGTACTTACAAGCATTTTTAATTTAAATATCATGCATTGGCATATTTCTCAGATATAATTTTTCACTGTAGAAAGATAAAAGAAGTTACTTTATGCAATTATAGGTATCAGCTGTTAAATTTTAACAGACTGATCCAATTTCTTAATTCTATCAAATACCTTGTATCAGACTACATAATTTTCAAAAAAACTAAACAAAAAGAAATGACATACACATCTGAGAAACATACAACAAAATTAACACTCATAGTACAAGACAATTGTTTAGAACAATTATCAAGTCTGTGCTTTAAATCTCATATAAAAGAGAGTAGAAAATATAGCAGCATATACCGACTCTACTGTGCGTCAAGCACGAGAGTGTCTCTCAAGCTTGCAAAATTAACATCAACGAAACGTGACGTTGATGTAAACCTTCCGTAGTTGACGGATTTCACCTGTTTTACATTAATGGTACACCAGGTACAAGCCCATAACCTATGACAGCGAAACGTGATTTTCGATAGTCCGCACCGGCCGGACGCGCCGGAATCACGCTGAGCTCGATGCAAAACGCGACGTCAAATCGCCCAAGGAGGATCGGACCGCGCGTGGGCGCGAATCTCGCCAGGTGGTGGCGAGATTTTTCAGCGTCAACCACTCGTCCTGCTCGAGAGAGCTCGTACGCTCGCGACGATGGTCCGACGCGTTCGCCCGATTTCCAAGCCGGGGACCCGGCGCCGGCCGCCGAGAACGTGGTACCGCAGGCACAACGTTCGTTACGTACCTTCATCTACCTCTTCAGCACAAACGAGACGCGCGGGGAGTTGTTATCGAGTGAAAATTTCCGCGTAAACAAAACTACCTTGACAAACACGGATCCTCCATTTATCAACTGCACCGATCGTGCGCCAAACGGAGCTGCCCGATTGGCCGAAACTTTCCGAAGCAGCCGACGCGACGTCGCGCCGAGCGCAGGACACGCCAGCGCCACCATTACCTCGACGCTAGGGGAAAATGTTGTTTAGGGAAAAGTAACGAGCGGGGAGGGGGGTTTCTTTTTGGCGCCACGTTCACTACCAAACGCGCCGTTTTCGATTCCGGAGTAATTTTGATCCTTTCCTATCCTAATGTAAATTAACTTGAATGGCTGCTTTCCATTTAGTGACACAAGTCGACACAAGTATCATTTTGTCCTTAATCATTGAATGCCAAGAAAGATAAAATGATACTTGTGTCGACTTGTGTCAGTCACTAAATGGAAAGCAATCTCAATAATCTCGATAATCTCGATATCTTATTTTTATCTTTTTTAATTTCTAGAAGTTCTAAGAAAAATTAGGAAAGATAAAGAATAAATTGAACTGAGAGTGAAGTTAATTTACATTAAAAGAAAGAAAGAAATATAAGTGATTCTGTCAATTAACTTAATCGACTTAATTAACTTGTCAAATAATATTTATATAATTTTGTAGCGTAAATAGAATTATTAATTTTTTGTTAAATTTATATACGTCTAGAAGAAATAATTAAATTAGAAATTAAATAAATTACTGTAGATTGCCGTATAAATTAGTCAACAATTAACAATTAATTATAGTTTGATCGAAATCGCTCTTAGAAAACATTTGTAGAATGATTTCATAAACAAATGACTTTCTTAAAACAAAAATCGAATCGCGACAAGTGTAATGTGATAAATTATAAAAAAAATTACGTACGTGCACGCACATACACACGCGCGACACACGTTTTTAAGTATATATATACGTATATATACCTGACAATGGTCACGCATTTCCATCGTATTTCGGAGAATTGTTAATAAACATGGAGGACGGTCTTGATCGATGCCGAGATTACGAAGTGAATCGCCGAAATCGAAATCGCAGTGACGACGATAACACATGGTATTGCTCATCGCGACAAAAATTCAAGGCATCACAATAAACGCTCTTCTAATTCTTGATGCAAGAAATTCGCTTTTAGACGGTAATAATTGCGAGAAACGCGTAGCGACTCGAATCCAATTTAACGATCGATCCGCGACGTGTCCGTTACTAATTCAAAATCCACGGAAAAACATCGAAAACGGTTGAAGTGACGTGAAGTTGTCGCGGTACTTTGTCTAACATGAAATAGAAAACATAGGGCCGGTATTCATAGGTCTGTTCTTATTTTAAGACCATTTCAAGATGTTAACATGACTCGGCGATTGGTTTATAATATATATTATAAACCAATCGCCGAGTCATATTAGTCTTAAAATATAATCTTAAAATAAGAATGAACCTATGAATACCGTTTTCTATATTTAAAATACTCGAATAAATAATGGAAAAGGAAATGCTGTAAAAAGAATTTCAGTTACAAACAACAATGCATTTTGCAATATATACTGATATATACTGAACTGATGATTCTACACTCGTTGTACTTTCACTTTTTCGAAAAAAATTATATTAGATATTTAAAATTATTTCAATTGTCTTTTGTAAAATTCGATCAGAATGATTTGGAAAAATAGAAATAATAATTATTAAATGTATTATAAAATTTGATCACGGAAAACATGTATTTATTTTATTTTTCACTATTTCTAAACATTAAATAAGGCATATTTTGTTGTTTTTAAATATATAATATTTAAAATTAAATTTAAAATGAATGAATTTCTTTTAGAAGCTCAACAAATTTACTTACAATAATTTTTTTTAAATCTTGATTCTCTTATATAAAAATTACTTATATAAAAATTCAAATGTTTTGTTAATATTATCTTACCTCTTTTTTTTCCTTCTTTTCTAAACGTAATTTCGGTTCCTTTAGAACTTTGACGTTTGATTTCAATCCTTTTTTCTTCAGATTCTTTAATGTTTTTATATTTTTTTTCTGCTTTTTCTCTTAAATTAACTTTGACTCCTCCAGGAGTTTCAATTTTGATCTCAGTTGTTTTACTCTTTTGCGGTTTTTTGATGTCTTTTTCAGACTTGCTTCTTTCAATTACTTTTTCTTTAAATGTGCTTATGATTTCCAGACGTTTTCTAACTTCTTTTAAAGTATCGTCAGTGACAGACATTGAATTTTGCTCATGTTGTATCAAGTTTTCTTCTTTCTGTTTCTTAAATTTTTTTATAAAGTTGTCTACATTGATTTCAACATTTTCCATACGTTTAAGTATATTAATTTTTTTTCTATCACACGGAGGAAACTCTTTATTTGATAATTGTAATGTATTCAATGGTAGTTGAATTGGTGGTTGTAATCTATTCAATGATGGTTCAATTGGTGGTTGTAATGTATTCAATGATGGTTCAATTGGTAGTTGTAATGTATTCAATGATGGTTCAATTGGTGGAGGGTGATAAATTGGTGGCCTACACATTGGTTCCATTAACAATGGTCTCGGATTCGCGTTATATGGCAGCATAGATCTCCACAGAGGATTATTTTGATGAAAATCTTGAAAAATAAATTCAACATTTAAGAATACTACATGGATATATATGTATTTCTTAACATGTATATGAATGGAAAAATAAAAAAATCACATATGATATTTTGTATTAAGACATTCTCTATATGTTGTAACAAGACATTTAAACGCTTGGTTTTTTCATGCTATATAATTAAACGAATATAAATTAAAATTTTAAAATACCACAATCCCTATACAGCACAAATGTCCAAAATACATCATAAAAATATCTTGAAGATATCGCGATATCTTCTAGATATTCTTGTGATGTATTTTGGATATTTCTGCGGTATGGGTCATATTATTTTAAAAACTGAACTTTATTGTAAACTTTATTATTTATAATTTCTTTTATGAAATATGTAAATAAATAACTTGATATTTAGGCAGAAGAGGCAAAAGGCGAGATGTAGACTAAAGATTATTCATTATTATTATGACTTAACCATTTATGTATTTTATCAAGTAATATATTAGTAATATATTAAGTAATATATTAATATTATATAAAGATTTTATTATAATCGATTCTGTCAGTTAACATAATCAACAATTGAAAAATTTGATCAAAGTCTTAAGGAATACGAATCTCATCATCTCTAATTAATTGAATCGACTTATTATTCCATCGGAATTGATCAATCGCATT